TGAAGCAGCTATTACCGCTGCCGAGCACTACATGAAAGCCTTAAGCTTGTCATCTACCTCAAAGGACAAAAAGACTCTAGATGCTAAGTGCAAAGATTGGCTTCTACGGGCCGAGAGAATCAAGGTAGCCAAAGATTGGCGCCTTGCGATTCTCGACCATGGCAGCAATGATCCAGTGACTCGATACCCTAGATCGGTGCGCAAACTCACAACTCGGGAGGAAATCATTCTTCTCGAGAGTGCGAAATTGAATCATGCGATCTTTCCGCCATGGTCAAGTGCTCCAGGATCTGATGAGTTTGAACGACAACTTGGGGAGGACCTCTTTACGTATGTGGACTACTTATGCAATTCAACACATGAATCATCCTGACTTGAGCCAGAGACTCACCCGAAATTCATCTCTCAAAACAGCAGAGGGAAGTTTTTGCGGGCTGGAAACGACCAAAGAAGCTCCTTTTGCAAAAACACGCAGGAGAAACAGACATTTCCACTGTCCCGGCGATGGTCGTGACAGAGAAGACTGATTTAGTGCAGGACATGGTAACAGATTGCTCTGTCGTTGCTAGTCTGTGTGCTATTACATCCAGGTACGAGCGTGGTTTAGATAAGGTAAGCCAACTCACTGCAATCGCGACATCTTTGAGCGGATCTGACATTTCCAGCTCCATTACCCGGTGGCATATCCCTGCGATCTTCGCTACACCGATCCCAAGCTTTCACCTTCGGGGAAATACATCTTCTTGTTTTATTTCAATGGGTGTTTTCGCAAGGTGGCCATCGATGATCGCCTACCATCGTCGAAAAATTCACGGTCACTTCACGTGGTCGACCGAAGCAATCCTTGCTATATATGGCCTGCCTTGGTGGAGAAAGCGTACTTGAAGCTTCGCGGAGGATATGATTTTCCTGGAAGTAACTCTGGAACAGACCTGTGGGTGCTGACAGGATGGATCCCCGAGCAAGTCTTCCTTCACCATGAAGACGTCACTGGCGAACAAATCTGGAGGCGGCTTTATAAAGCATTTCAAGCCGGTGATGTTCTTCTGACAATAGGTACCGGAAGATTGACAGAAAGGGAGCAGGAGGAGCTTGGCTTAGTGAGCGAGCATGACTATGCTATTCTGGATTTGAAGGAGACCGGAAGCCGCCGTCAAATGCTCGTGAAGAACCCATGGGCTGGTGATTATGACCATGACAGCAACTTCGAACTCAGCTCTGGCTACGGAGATACGTCTCAAGTCTCACCTGGAACCTTTTGGATGGACTGTGAGGATGTTCTTCAGAATTTCGAAAATCTATATCTGAATTGGAATCCCTCCTTGTTTAGAAGTCGACAAGATCTTCATTTTACATGGGACCTCACAACTGATAGAGGACTGGCTGGTTGTTTCGCCAAGAACCCTCAGTTTTCTGTGTCCAGCAATGCTGGCGGTACCGTCTGGTTACTGCTTGGAAAGCATTTTCGGACAGTCGACCATCACGACGAATCTGGGCCATCTGCCCATTGCGACGAGCCCGGATTCATCAGCCTCTATGTGTTTGATGCAAGTGGTCAGCGAGTCTCTTTGAGTGACGGGGCACTTCATCGCGGCCCCTATGTTGATTCGCCGAACACCCTAATGAGGTTAGACATGCCTTCATATACGACCTACACCCTGGTAGTATCCGAACAATCCTTACCATCCGCAAAGCAACATTTCACACTATCTGCACTGTCCTCTACCCCAGTGGGCATTGCGCATGCGCAGAATAAATACAAATTCACAACAAAAGTCCATAGCTTTTGGACGCCTTCGACTGCAGGAGGAAACGCCGAGTCAGCCCGATATCCATTCAACCCTCAATTTAGCTTTAGAATCAGCAGTGCAACCGATATTTCACTCCTGCTTGAGCCAGAGGAGCCCGAATTAGCAACGCATGTTAAGCTGTTCTGGTCTAACGGTCAGCGTATATCCCGAGTTCGAAGCCGCGACATTGCTGCCGACAGTGGTGACTACCGTCGCGGTGGCTCGCTTGCAGAAAAACAGGGGCTTACTGAAGGCGTCTACACAATCGTCTGTTCGACTTTCGCGCCCGATCAATTGGGAAGCTTCAACCTCTGGGTTTCTTCTTCAGGTCCATGTGAAGTGACGCCGCTGGCGCCAGAGGCAGCTGGGCGACGCGCAGTAATCTCAGACATTGGAGTCTTGTCCCCTGGGAAAGACCGGATGCTGGCGCCGCTGGGGACCCCACGGCTGACGCGCCTTAAGATAATTGGAAGAAGCAGGCAATCCACGATTGCGAACCGATCCGTTGGGCCTTCGCCTATGTTGATGACAGTGGAACTCGGTCAAGGACCTTACAAAGAGATACTGGCAACATCTGAAGACGGAAACCACAGTGATGCCATTTCGGGTGTGCGCATCGAGGACTTCAATCTGCACCCTAACCTTGAGGACCGTGGCGGAGCCTGGATTGTCATCGAGCGAATTGGAGGGCCTGGAGGACAGGTCGAAGACCACTTTGAGGTGGAAATTCTAGGCGAAGAGAGGGTGTATGTTGGAGAATGGATAGTTGAGGATGCATGATTAGTCTAGCTAAATCAAGGGACGGTGGTGTCTTGTCGGCTCGAAAGCATAGCGCAGACCTTTATATTGTACCTTAAGAGCATTCCGCATGCTAATTATTCGTCGAGGAAGGATTATCAAAACCAATCTGAGACTTAAATGAGTGATAATTGAATCTGAAGGAGAAAACAACATCAAAGTGGGTGATATATGATTCTGCTTGTACAGAGATATGTAGAACGAGTAAGTCGCCAAGCAGCGAAGCAGGAGCCCGCAGCTGTGCCGAAGAGGTCAGTCTAACGTTCGGTGCAGTTCCCGCTCCTGAACGTCATCCCCGCCTGCATCGCGTTATCTTTCACCCCTCCAAACAACAAACAACGCCAGTGCCCAAAATCAACTTTCCCACACCGACCTCATGGCCAGCAATATCCCCGCTAGTTTGAAATCCGCGGATATCGGGCGATTTGCCCTCAGGGCAGCTCAGCTTGAACGCGCAAAGCCCGTCGTGGCCTACTGGTGTAAGTGTCATTTGTGCGCCTAAAGTCAGTGCTGCCTGAATGTGATCCGAGTCTAATTATGAGTCCCTTTTCCACTTTTTAGGCAATTTCTGGATCGTGAATCAAATAATTGAGAGAGGGCTGCACGCTTCTGATGATGAGGTCAAACTGTATACGACGGAGCTGGTGGACAAGCTGGAGGAGGTGAGTCAGGCGCAATTGCTGGTCTTCTCCCCCTTATGTGCAGTATCTGGGCGCTAACATTGCTCCCACTCTCTCTTTAAAGTTCAAGAACGAAAACCCCGACAATGACGCTGTGACGGATGCTATCGCAGCCAATGCATATGTAGAGCAATTTGCTCTGGAGGTTCTTGGGCGTGCGGAGGCGACGATGAAGGCCAACAAAGTGACGAAGTCCGTTCCGCCCTACGCAACAAGTTCAGATAGGATGACCGCTAACTGTAGCCTTAGACAAACAGCAGATACATTCCAGGCAGCTGCCACTTTCCTAGAACTATGCCAGATCTGGAACCCTCCGGATGCAGAAATCGCTGCGAAGATCAAGTTCGCCAAGTACCACGCTGTCAGAATCATCAAAGCAATCAAAGCTGGAGAAGATCCGAATGCGTCAAATCCCGTCGCCGCTGAGGAGGAGGAAGATGCTGTGGCTGATCTAGAGCCTAGACCAGATGATCCGGAAGTGCAGGCCATTGTCGGATCCCTGCCCGTCCAGCCGAGGCAGCCGTCCGTAGAGGACGTCCAGGATGACTCCGAAGAAGCGTCGCAAGCACCGCTTGTTCTACCAGACACACCAAACACGACGAGATACAGTGCCCCTGCTTACCAGCGGACTGGATCACCTTCCGAAGCCAAAGCGGAGGACGATACGGAAAAAGGACTGGAGCTACCATCTGCACCGGAGACATTTGCATCTCCAGCGGACCCCGTACCTGATTTCCCAGACACCCCTGGGAAAATAGACGGGAATCGTGCTCCTGCGCCTTCCGACTCATTTCATTCCTTCCCTCCGCCATCCAACATGGGACCCGCCACTCCAGCCGCGCCCTCTCATGACGCCAGCTATTTTTACAGTAAACCACCACCTAGTACCGCAGTGCCTCCACCCTTCGTGCAGTCGACATCAGGCACCGTCCCTGTAGTCAGCCGCCCCGCGCACCAGAACTTCCCGAGCCCCACGCCTTTTGTACCAGCACCTGTTGCTTTGCAATCTGGTCCGACGAATGCGCAGCCAGTTGATGATCAAGCTATTGCGCTTGCGCAGAAGCACGCTCGCTGGGCAGTATCGGCACTGACATTTGACGATGTCAATACGGCTATCAAAGAACTCAGGAACTCACTGCGCTACTTAGGAGCGGAGTGAGGATACCGTCCATGTATACCTAGCTCAGCAAACGTTGTTTGTCTTTAGAGATACCTCTTGCCCAATTCTGTTGTTGATGAGTGCCAGCACTTGTTTCATGGCGTGACCTTTCCCTCTTTGAATGAATTGATGACTTCTTATTTCCCCTCTTCGGTTTTGCACCCTTGCAAAGTCCACTTCCCTAAAGACATAGCCATGCCTGTCTTTCCCATTGATCCATCCGCTGGCGATTGAGCAAGGAAGAACCAACATGTTATTTTCAAGACAAAGACTGATATGCAAAACATAAGCTTTGTCACAAGTGCAGACACTATGTTTTCCAGACGATCGCCGTGGCGATGAGGAGAAACACTGGCCTCTGATCATCCTTCACTGCAATCATCGCCAGGCTCCTCTCTCCGGGTTTCCCACTTGCTCACACAAGAAACACAGAACACCCACTCCCCAGTTACCCTCCTCCCTTCAACGCACCTGCTATCCGACCTTTTTCAGAAGGCTAGCAGAAAGATTCGTCAACACCAGACAGTCTTTCATTCATACTTCACGAGTGTATCGTCTAATTTGAGGAACATCATGACACGAAGGTCAATCACGTCCAGCACATCTTCGGACGTACCCTATCATGTTATGAAAGCCGAACTCGACGAAGGCGGGCTGAAGCCTGGTAACAATGATCGGGAATTTACCGTGTTCCTCGATCTGAAGTCAAAGTATTCACGCAAGTTTCTAGACAGCCTTCGAGAACACGTCCAATTTCGCGGCTTCGAATGGGGGGAGTTACTGAGTTCAGAGGCTCTCCGACGAACATGCGCTGAAATTTTCGTTGAAAACGTTGGAAGGACGTATTGGGGCACTGAAGAGAACCGGCAAAAGTATTTGATGGAAGAATCAATCAAGGATCCGAACAGCCTCTGCGTATATCCCGACAGAAGGGAGGAGTAAGTTGTGGCCCATCCTCGTGTCATTCATTGTCACCCAATCCCCACATTCATGGCCACCTGATCGAGTTGACACTTGCAGGATCATCCGAACCATCATGATCCTCCTCGAACGCAAAGCGAAAAGTGCTCTGAGATTTTGCACTGACAAGGATCCCTCGAAAGTGAGTTTCCCCTTCTCCTCTTATGAATTTACTCTTAGAGCTCTTTTGGCATCCTGGATATATACTCATCTCGAACGCATAACTAGGATAACACTGCAATCACTCCCCTCGATACCAGTACGAACATGGCATCAAAACTGACATGGTCTACCAAGCGTGTGATGACGCCAGTGCCGCATGTCGCCGTGCGAGTTGAACGCAAGCCCAAGCGCAAGTCCAAGAGTTTTTCGGACGAAGAATACAGAGAGACAGACTCCGTCGTTGATGACACGGATGACGTCCAAGAACACACACCTCACATGGCTCGTCCAGTGAAACGGTCCTCAACCACGGGAATTCGCCCTTTCAAGTCGATCATGACTTCCCAAGAATGCGATATGGAGTCTGATAGCGATGTGATGATGGTGGACTGGAAGACCAAGTGGAGTGACCCTGCGAAGACGAAGCAGGAGCGCTCCCATCCCTTCAAGACGGAGCCTATCCCCGTGGCCCCTGTCAACAACTTCGAGATCGAGAAGCCGGACTACTCTCCAATCAAGATGGAGCCACAAGCAAGCCGCAAGAAGAGAAATTCCAAGAGCAAGAAGCAGTCGCTCATCAGATCGGAGTCGCAGGAAGTGATGATGAACCTGGACGAACCTGTTCCTGATGACACCTTTACCACCACCACGGCTACTCCAGGCGTCGAAGCCAACCCGGAAGATCCCGTCTATTTCCTCGTCACCGCTACCTCCCAGCCAGGCATGGGCTCGGTCTGGGTCCCTTACCGTGACTTCCGCTCGGCGGAGGAGTTCATGCGCTACCTGCGACAGGAATGCCGCCTGGACGACTGGAGCCCGTCCCGCCAGCTGAGCCACGACGTGAGCGGCCACACCCCGACCATCGTGAAGCCCGTCGTTGTGGCAGCCTCCGTGAAGTTCGACTGGACCGACTTCGAGATCCGCGTCCGCCAGAACCACGACCAGGACTGGGCGATGGTGCAGCAGGAGCTGCAGAAGGCCATGGAAGGTCGGGCCCAGCTTCTGGAATCGGGATCGTTGACGTCTGCCTACAAGATCCGCGTCCTGTTGCACGTCGTGGAGGAGGATATGCTGCTCGTGTACCCTAGAGCTCACTGAAACCTGGGGCTTCGGAAGTTATTTTCGATATTGCGTCTGTGCCAACAACCACGAACGCTGCGCACTGCTGCGTTGTCCTGTTTAGCTCAGTACCGACTTGACCGCAACTCCTCTCTCTTCCCCTCCCCCTGCTGCTCCATACCAATTTCTCTTGGGAGTGTTTGGTGATGGGCGGTAGAAGATCATTTTCCATTTGGAGGAATACTTGGCTTTCCCTAGGGAAGTTCGCATAATAAACTGTGAAAGCAGAATTTGGTTGTTATCTCCAGATATCTTGCATGTCATTTGTCGGATATAAGAGCCAGAGAATAACGATGCTATGTAACTAATTTCAGATAAAATTGGCCGAGCCACTCCGTAGACTTGCTTGATTCTGGGGTGAACCAAACAGAATTGAACTTTGTTGGGTGATTTTCGCACGAGCCTTCGTATAAGTGATGCGCCTTACTTTACCGTATCTAGCAGTAGTCTAAATTGTCTAAGCCTCTAAGATTTTAAAAAGGTTCCTTGCAAGAAAAGGCTGTTGGGAGGAGGGGGGGGAAAGCTTTGTCGAGCCCCTGCACAAACCATGGGATGACGATCACCCACGGTCCTTGGGACTGGGAACTGAAAGTCAAAATGATGCGCCGCCATTCATCCCCATCCCTCCTAACGTGGGACTCCCCCACGGGAAAAAGGAAGTTTGTTTTGGGAGTTTTTTGACACCGAGGTTTATCTTGCTTTCCTTTGAAGGGAGAATCCCGAGCAATTACCGAGATTTTATGACATTTGTAGACGCTAAGTAATACTCCATAGCCTTCTTCTCCAGCACTGACTAGTGATAGGGAAGATGAGGAGGATTGGGTGCCTCGATTCGCCCAATCGCTCGGAATTCAGTTCCAAAATATCCCAGTGTTTGTTAATCGTGCTGGCCAAGCGGTCTGATCCCGTGCTACTGGGTTTCTGGGCCCAGTTCCGGCCAGTCACGATGCCAAAATGGAGGGTGGGTTGATTAGTGAAGAATATGTAAAACGGAGTCACTACTCTATGGAGTACTAGTATGGATGAATAGGAGGAGAGGAGGGGCGGCGGGTCGAAGTGAAGCATCACCGAAGTTGATATCAATAGTGATGATTCCAAGTTGCCGCAGATAAGCGTTCAATAGTACCCCAAATTGCTTTTTCATCACTCCCCTTTTCGTTCTTTTGTTCTCTTTGATCCGTTGCTTGTGGCTCTGGTTGAAAGTACTGTGCGTGGGCTCGTGGGTTTGTTTGTCTACCTCGTCTATCCAATTGGACCAGTATTGACGTGTGTCGATAGGACTGCGAAGAAGAGGAGAGAGGAAACGGCCAGGGAAGATCTAGGCTTAGTCGCAGACGCGATCGAAGCGAATTGCCGACGCCCTATGCAGTATGCAGGCACTTCTCCGGCGTCAGACTTGCGAGATCGCAAATTAATCATCCAGGAGAAATCACGAGCAATTAGTGGTTACCCACCAGCAAGCAGCCTTGACTCGTAGTATCATTTTATGAGACGCAGATCATCGATGCTATTGTTCCCTAAGGTTGATCATCTCAGTCTCTCCCAGTGTCACAATTGACGGTTTGCGCGCCCGTCGCCGCCTTTTTCTTATCCACCCTGCGTCAAGCACTCAATTGGGGATGCCTGGTTTGATGTGTATTTTTCTTTTCTGGGGAAAGGGCGGGCGGATTTGAGCGCGTTGTGGTGGCAAAGAGGGATTGACAATTCAACATCATCATCTTCATGTTTGCTTTGACTTCCGTTTTTCTTTTCTTTTTCGTTTCCTTTTGTTTTTCAATGGATACGTACTCGACATCCCACCCCTTCCCCTTCAGGGAATGGGGAGGCAATAAATGGGTTCAGAAACCCACTTAGAGGCGGGACTATGATCGGACGGTGTCCCTGACGAACGGACAACGTCCCACAACGCGTGCTTGGCAGGGGACGGATTGATGAATCCATTTGTCTTTCCTTGGTTTGGGACCTCCCCGAAATGCTCGAGGGACGCTTAAAATTCGCCCACTTTCCTGTACGAGGGCAAAGGAGCGAGTGGGAAGCCCTCGCCGGGGGCGTGTGGTATCCACTGCGCCGGCGAAATTTCTAGACGCAGCGCTAGCGGCGTTCATTCGGTAAAAGAAGCGGTTTGGAATGATGATGTGCTCCCCCTCTTGTTCCATGCGAATCTGCAGTCTGTTATTGGTGGCGGCGGCGGCGCCGCCGCCGCCGCTGTGTCGCCGCTGCTGCTGCTGCTGGTTTGCAGGCCTGCAGCACAGTACATAGAGAAAGGCCTGGGTAGGAAGATAATCTTGCTTGGTTGCACCAATCTGTTGTTGGGAGGGACAGTCAATACAAGAGAGGAGTAGTATGGTTGTTTCCAGTCGCATCACCGGGCCACATCATTCGCATGGGTGGAAGTTACACCAGAGGGAGCTGGAGAACTATCTAGAGAAAAAGGGCATCGTGATCAGTGTTGGAGTGACATGATGCCTCTCTCTCTATCTCTCACAGGCTGTGCGCGACATAAGGTGGAGATTTGGGAAGGGGGTTTGGAATTATGCTGTCTGCCGCGTTCTCCAGTGTGGTGGTCCGTTCGTATGTCTCAGCTTGGGGACAGTAGTGAGGAACTGAGGATGGGGTGTATACAGAATTACAGATAGAATCCCTGGCCAGGCAAAGCTCCGCAAAGTCGTAGGCCTGAGTCTAGTGACTGGCTCAATTAGTCAACAGGAGTCTGTTAATGCGCAAAACAATGAGCATACATGGTCATACCTGAGTCAGAGAGAGTATTTGGATGTTGAGATAGAATTAAAAGTGAATCTAAAAGCGGTGGCTGATTGATTGATTGACTGATGGATGGATGGATGACTTGAGAAGGGAGGAACCAGAACAGAGAGGCAGGTTATTAGGTAGTTGCCTATGATTGTTATTATTATCACGGATATAATAATTATTACTTGCATAGTTCGTTGGTCCCTCCCAAAAGAGAGGATGGATGAATGGCTGCTTCCTCTCTTTTCCCCCCCTCCCCGTCCGCCTTCTCTTCCTCCCTCCTTCATCTCTCTCCTCTTCGATCTCCTCCTTTTCTTCCTTCTCC